TACCATTCTAATGATTGTCTTATTATTCTCCCGTTGTTTCAAATTTTTGTATATTCACCATATTTTTTTTTTCTATATTTTTTAAGATTTGAATAAAATATTTTTAACCCGATATAGATATATAATCCTAACTGAATTGAATTTAATAAAATATAATTATATCCAAATCGAATTTCACCCGTAAATTACGATTTCTTTAATTAAATTAACTGAATTCAATTTGAAAATAAAAACAATATAGAAAAATGAAGGAAAATACTATTTGATAAATATTTTTAAAAGACAATAGAATCAAATTAAACCTAAACCTAAAACTATATAAAACCAAATGGATACAACTAGTTACAATATGGGCCTCGTCCCTTATGGGCCTTATTGGTATGACGTCAACACCGTCAAATCAATTCTTGATTAATAATAGGAATTACGTGTCTTCAATACCATTAAGGATAATTTATTTATAAAATTAAATTAATGTTTCTTGAATTATTTATTGTATTATTAATATTCTCATAATAATATTTTCTAGATTATATGGATACGTGAATCAAATGTGAGGCAACGAGAGACATTGCCCTTTCAAAGCAATTAAGCACGTGACGATTGTGTGTGGTTTTTGTACATACTCGTGATGTAACAGTAATTTCACCGAATGTTACATAATTTTCTCGTGCCCTAATTTTTTTCCCCTAGGGTTTTGAATTAATAAATAATGTATACACATATATCTGTTACGAGTGGACAACTAAATAAATGTGTCGAATGCTGTCTGTTTTTTTTTGGTCATAAAATGTATTATTTACCATTTTATAACCCACATCTTTTACAAAAATGAATATGTAACGATCCGCGATCGCGATCGCTACAAAATATTAAAATTACCTTCACACAATAACTAGACCTTCTAACGTATTTTTTCCTCACTTACATTTGTACCGTGACACTTCCAAGTAGGTCACATATTATGATATTGCTTCATACTTATCAGTATATTTAATTTTGGAGTTCTCTCGCGATAGTACCACCTGAAAAGTTAGGTGGACCTTATTGTTATAAATAGCCCAAATAATCCTTTTGTGTTATCTCAGACCATATAGTCTCATTCCTATATAGTCATCGGATCTCTCTCATTCGGGTTCATTCGATTTATTCCTATATCCCTTTGGTTTTTGTGGTATTCGAGAAGTCATTCCTTGATCGTGCCATCGTACCGACGAACATTCTCAATACTCATCGTAATTCGGGATATCACAAAATATATAGATAGCCATTAGGGTTACAAATATAATCTCATATATTTTTATTGTGAAGTGTATACCGCATCCGAATAAAAATAATAGCAATTTAAAACATTTGGTGAGATCTCTTAATTACGACATACATCTGTATACATGTTTAGAAAATAAATGCGAATAAACACATCATCGGTGGTACTATTAGAGGCATTACCCTTTAAAAAAAAATAAAAATCAAATACATCATTTGAAAAAAAAAACTATTTTTTTTTAAAAATCCAGTATATATGTATTCCTCTTTAAATACATTTGTACCAGCCCATGTCGTCTACATATGTTTGTGTTGTAAATGTATAATGATGAACCCAAAAAACTATAAATGATCATAATTCACTCATAGTTGTATTATCTGCTCACGTTATTATACAACACAACATTATTAACATTTAAAAAAAATCATTGATAGAGAATAATCCGAATATTAAGGAAATAAAAAAAATGTAATAAACAAGGTGATGTAACGTCGTGTTGTACCTTTTCTTCGTAATTCTTACATCATTATATAAATTAGGGTTAAATCCATAAAAATACCCCAATTTACAAATTTTTTCTAAGATAATATCCCAATTTAAAATTTAGCAAATTAATATCTCAATTTGTAAAAAATTTCTAAATTGATACCCAAAGGTGACGAAGTTAATTTTTTCGTCTTGTATGCCACATCAGCACCACGTCACTGCCATGTTAGATTCTGTTATTTCCAGAAAAATACTCCAATTTGTATTTTTTCTATATATATACCCAAATTATAAATTTAACATAAATATATCCAAATTTGTAAAATCTTTCCAAATTGATACTCGCATTTGTAAAAGTTTCCCAAGTCTAATCTGACCCTGCACTCGATCAAGAATTTCGGATCGAGGTATCATTCGGGCTGGACTGACCCGAACTCTCATTCGGCCTGGAGGTTTCGGGCTCAGGCTCGGACCGACCTGATTTTTTTGGGTCTATATAATTAAGCCCAATGCCCGACCCTATGCATTTTGGGGTTGAGTCGGGTTAGGTCGGGCCGGCCCGCGTAAATTTCGGGCTTTCGGACCCGTCCGACTCGAGTCCAAAGCCCGATATTTGAGTCCGACTCGAGATTCCGATTTTTTTCGGGTCGGTCCGACTTGAGTCCGAATATTTATATTTCTGTTGATATTTTTGGGTATAAACAATAGAAATATTGTTTATACCGAAGTTTCTTGGCCCGGAAAAAATCAAAATTTCGGGTCGGACTCAAATATCAGGCTTCGGACTCGAGTCGGACCGGCTGGTCTGAAAGCCCAAAATTTTAAAAAAATAATATTTACAAAGAGAGGCATCGCGGACCGGCCCGAAACAGATTGGTCTGAGTCCAAGCCCGAAACCTCCGGGCCGAGTGCGAGCTCGGGCCATACCAGTCCGATTGATACCTCGACCCGAAATTCTCGATTGAGTGCGGGGTCAGATTAGACTTGGAAAACGTTTACAAATGCGGGTATCAATTTGAAAATATTTTTACAAATTTGAGTATAAATTTGGAAAGATTTTACAAATTGGGGTATATTTATGTTAGATTCATAATTTGGGTATATATTTGGAAAAAAAATACAAATTGGGGCATTTTTCTGAAAATAATAGAATCTGACATGGCAGTGAGGTGGCGCTGATGTATCCGGTGACGTTGCATACAAGACGGAAAAATTATCTTCGACACCTTTGGTTATCAATTTAGAAATTTTTTGCAAATTGAGGTATTAATTTTCTAAATTTTAAATTGGGGTATTATTGTGGAAAAAATTTGCAAATTGGGATATTTTTCTGGAAATAAGACAAATAACCCTATAAATTATTTAAATATATTTTTATATAAAATAAAATCGAGTGAAACCACGAAAATGATAGCCACAGACATTACGACGGACATCATTACTGCGATGTCCCATCAAGAAGTTAGGCAAGAACAAGTACGGCGACGGGACACGTGTCTACATATGATTGGAAGGATGGTTGAAGGACCATTGTCCAATCGAGGAAGGAAGAACAAGGGGCTTTATAGGAGAGAGGTAATGCCTAACGATTCTTATGCATAAAAAATGGAAAGAAAAAAAAAAAAAAGAGTTTGGCACAAAGCCCTCTTCGTATTCCATTTTCCTTTCCCTATTTTATTAAATAAATAAAAAACATTTGCCTAATATTTTAAATTTAAAAATTATGTTGGATGTGAAATCCTATTTTCGAATACGAGATAGAATGAATTTGATATGAACATAACATAATGATGATCAGCAAGTGGCATACATTAATCCGTATGTCCTGTGTTCGATTTGTGCTGTAATGGAAGTCGTAACAACTACTACTGACGCATATCAAATTAATAAATCTCTTTAATCGTAAAATTAGTTTGGATATTCATAATTTAGGTCAATTTATTTCCCTAGTTGAAATTAAATTGCGTTTAGATATTCATATTAATTTATTATAAAAATCGTGCCATAACCAACCGTATTTCTTTGTTATATGACATTTGCGTTTAGTAGTAGTTGGTGTTTGCGACTTTTATTCAAACACGAGCTTGAAAAAATGAAATATTATTATGGCACCTAACAAAGCATAAATATGTTGGTAAGATGTTAAAAAGCAAAAAGATATAATAACATCTATTTAAATCAATTTTTTTAATCACAGAGAATATAAATCGATTTATATGATCGATATATGTAGAGATTACATTCTTTTTTTTTAAATAATAATATAGAAATATGGGACTCTCTGTGTGATAAATGCACAGGTGGTGCCTTCAAATCTCATCACCGTCATTTCAATATAATTCCATTTATTCCGTATATTAATGAGCAGACGACAAAAAAATTTCAATGGATTTTTTGTTGATATATATATATATATATATATATATGCGTGTGTGTTGGATGAGCTCGTGTGTCCAAGACAAATCAGAATAATCTTAAATCTTAATTTATATAAAACTAATAAAAATTCTATTTTAATATCCTTATCTGTAAATTAATATTTATTTTTATCATCCTAATTTATTACTTTTTCTCGATATATATAAATATAGTCGGAGGAACACATGTCTCATCAACTAAATTAATTTCAATTATTTAAATTTAATTTATATAGAATCAATAAAAATTAATACTAATTTATGTGTATCAAATAATAAAACTAAACTAATATATCTATTTGTCTTATCATATAATTATGTTTTGCATTTTTCTAACGATTCACGTGTATATATATATATATATCATGACCTTTATTGATCACAAAAAATTCGGTGCAATATTATGGGAAATCTCGAATAACAACCACTAATTAAATCTCTAATCTCTTTCTCTTCTGTTTATCACATAAATCCCCCCAATAATTAGAGACCCCACCCCACTAATCTCTTAACTCGTAAAAAAAAGGCTTCCGTTCTCCGCACGTGGAGTTGCGCTTGCGTGGCATTATAACCACCGTGAATATCGACACCTAAGATCGGACGGTGGATAATAGAGGAGTGTAGGTGGATTTGCGGAGCAGAGGGTAAAAGTTGATACGATGTCCGAGAAAACCTCGCTTCAAAGTGACGTAACACACGTCAGCATCTGTACTGCCACATAGTCTTCGACGTGGCATTTTAAGTTGTTATTTTAATTATTTTAAAATTAGGATTTAATTAGAATTCGTAGTGATTTGTGTTCTGAAGTTTCCACATAGAATAACCTAGATTTTGTTATTTGTCTACATGAATGATTTGTTTTTCGATTCCTGACATCGAATATCTCATTTCTTTATGAAATTAAACGCTGTTCTCAATCCCAGATCACAAGATTTGAATGGTTTATTCTTCTCAACTTTGAGAAGAATAAACTTGGGTTTTTGGTTCATTTTGTTGATTTTCTTCGACTAAATCGGTATAATCTTTAAAACCCATTTGAGATTCTGGGTTTGAATAGTGTATCCATCTCATCATTCTGTTCATGTCGCCGGAGATTTTACACGAAAGTGTTGGCATTTCCTATGGTTCATGTATTTCGCTCGCCACGTGTTTGATGAAATGCCTGAATAGCCACGCCGGTGTTAATCTAATTTCCTGTCCCTGAAATATATAATGTTTATATTCGTATGGTTTACAGAGGTTGGTTCTTTTTACACCGTTTTGATCAGAACCTGTATCAAGGTTTTTATTTAGTTCAGTTCCGAGACTGCTGGAACTGTTTTCAATCGATTTGACTTTGGTTTAGTGGTGATAAAGAAACAGTAGTGTCTGGAAAGCGTGCTTCTTTGTAACTCGGGGGTAATATGTCGTGGACCTTTTACTTGGTTCATCAAACCTTGGAATTAGGCTTTTGATATTTGAATTTGACATTTTTGTTAATTGCCATATAAATTTGTGAGTTTATTTATAAATAATTTAAATAAAATACCACATTCTTTATCAAGGTGGAATTCATTGATGGTCGTATTATTCATTACTGGATTTGTTGCCAGAATTTTTTTGTGGGTTTTTTACCCAGTAAAAATTTTAAATTAAAAATTTAGAAATTTTTATATTGGAAAAGGATTTCGCTGAAAGTGGAGATCGCATACTCTCGAAGAAACAGTAATCTCTCTCCCTCTCTCTCTCCTGGAAGCTACTGAGTTGGAATCGGCGGCAACTGAGTCGAAACCCCGGCGACTGTTTGTTTTGTTAGAATTTTGATGTGAAAGTGATAAGGCGTTTTCGGCTTCATGGATCCGGGTGGGATGATGAACGGAGGAGGACCGTGCAACACGTCGGAGATCTGGCAGTTTCCGAGAAACGGAGCTCCGCCGATGAATTCGTCGATAAGAGGAGATGGTGTTCCGTTCGATGGACCCAATCTGGCGCAGCAGTTCGCCGGCTCGAATCCTAACGGCACCACCACATGCGGCGGCGGTCCGGCGCGTTTGAGAAACGCGCTTCCGCCTCAGGCGAGGGTCGCGAGAAAGCGGCGGGAGGCGACGGAGGACGAGGCGGCTAAGGTCGTCTCCACCAGCAACGGCAATGGCGCGGTCGGAGTTTGTTGGGTATTTCAGTTTTGGTTCATGGGATTCGTTTTCTCCATTTCTGGGTTTGCTGGATCTGTGATTTGAATTTGTTTCAACTTAACAATCTCAGTTGTTCACGTATATTCATTTCTTCACGTATTGGAATTTTCCGAGGAATTAGCATTTTCTCGGTTTGAATTGTTCGGGTAGTTAGCTCTGGAATTTGTTATTATCATATCGGAGAAGACAATTTCAGTGGCATTAGCTGCCATTGCTGAGATTGAAATCATTAAGTTGCTCTCTTTGTCTTGGTCACTTCATGTTCTAGTACGAGGTTTCTGCATGCGCTCGGATTCTTGTTTGGCCAAGGTTTATGTATGTCTGCATTAGGAAATCAAAGTTTATGTCTTTACTCAGATTCTAATGTTAGCTTTATCGGGGTTTAGCAGAAGGATGATGATAGTAAGAGGCAGAAGACGGGACGATGTGGAGATGTAGGGCATGGCTGGAAAACTGAAGAAGAAACAGCAGGTAAAGGCGTGGAGGAAAAGAAGCAGACTGCTGAATCCCCGAAAGATTATATTCACGTGCGAGCCAGGAGAGGTCAAGCTACCGATAGCCACAGTCTAGCTGAGAGGGTATCGACGATATCGTTTTCTTAAGCTCGTTTAAATAGTAGCCAGATGTCAAAATTTGTCAGGGGTGATGCCAGATCAGTAACAGAGTCTTCTTTCTTGGCAGGCAAGAAGAGAAAAAATAAGCGAGAGGATGAAAATCTTGCAAGATCTTGTTCCGGGTTGTAACAAGGTGCAGTGGATTCTCTAGATCTATGTTTTGCTCGTAGTTTTCTCAACTGCTTATGTCGGTATAGCCAGTGATTTGAGCTTATATATTCAGGTTTTTGGAAAAGCACTCGTTCTTGATGAGATTATCAATTATATACAATCGTTGCAACGTCAAGTTGAGGTGAATCGGAGTCTCCTTCTGTCCATTTGGTTGCTATATAACATCGATGTAAAGTCCTCTTTGTTTTTAATTTTACTTGTGGACATGCATTTCAGTTCTTATCAATGAAGCTCGAAGCAGTTAACTCGAGAATAGCCCCTGGTTTAGACGTACTCCCACCAAAAGAGGTAAAGCCAATTTTGGGTACTCGGCTTTAAGTCATTGTTCTGGGGTTCGTTTCTTTACTCCCTTCCCTATCATATACAATTCAAGACCCCGGTATCGTTTAGATGGTCGATTACACCATTCATATATGCATCGAAAACACCGATACGCATCATTCATGGGTGACCGATATGAATGCAGTTGATTTGCCTGCCAGGTCACCAGTAAACTTCGACAGAAATACGAGAAAAGTTATCTTAAGATTGCAAGTTACTTGGTTGAACTCATAGTTTCCACTGTGTTTTCGATTGAATTATCTAGTTTGTTTTTCCCGTTATCACCTCGCCCGACATGTATGTACGCGCTGACCAGTAACTTTTCCATGTATTCGTATTCCTCGTGTAATTCAAATCGTCTGTGTAATTCCAGTTAGCTCAGCAACAGTTTGAAAGCTCGGGATTGCGGTCTGGCTTGCAACCTCCAAGAGATTACAGCAGGGGAGAATCACCGGAGTGGTTGCACTTGCACATGCAGTTAGGAGGAGGTTTCGAAAGAACATCTTAAGGAGGAAGAAGAAGAAGAACACGTCGCAGGTAAAGAAAGGCTTCCATCTTCGACGAAAAGAAGCATACGTATATGTATCGATATAATAGATAAATATTAGTATACAGGTCTATTGCTACAACAAAAGGAACAAAAAACCCAAAGATTGTGTTCATAGTTTGGAACTCAAGCAAAGAGAACTGAACTGAACTGAAGCTGTCTGAAAGGATTTGGTGAACGAAAGCTGAAACTTGGGGGGAAAATAAGAGATTCTCTTATTCTTACAAGGAATAAAATATGGCAACCACTTTTGTCAAACTCTCCGTGTGTATATATATATATATATAATACACATTATTAAGTAATTTTTATCACAAAAAGTTGTCTGAGAGAATCTTTAGTGTATCTTGATCTACCTATACCTACCGAACTTGGGTTTCATATATATATATATATATATATATGTGTGTGTGTGTATGTGACAAGTAGATTACCGTTCGAACCCAAGAATGAGGATGAGCAGAAATCCCTTGACTTTGCTAGTATTCTAATAAAATTGGAGAAACACAAATTGATTTTTTTTTTTTTTTTTTTTGTAATTGTATTCTAAATATAAGAATAATATTGGAATCGTATATTATTATCATATTTTCATACCCGAAATAAATGGAAAAATGGACCCAAAATATTAAATATTTACGAAGCCTAGCCCAACAATTCGATTTGGTCCAAGAGAGTTTGTGGATCTATTTCAAATGAAAAGCCCAATTAGTTTTTCAAGTGACTAAAGGTGTAGATATTTGGGGGTTGGGCTTGCTTATTTTTGGGTTTGGTTATTTATAAAAATTAATGAGTTTTTTTAAAACAAAAAATACTGTTTTTATGGGTTTTTTTTTCTTTTATTATTTGGTTCATATTCATTAATTTAGTTTTAGAAGAGTCATACCAATATATTTCAAATCAAGTTCACAATTCCGTGCAATTTGCATACCATACTGTTAACCTAATTTAAGTTTTTTTTTATGATTCAAAGAGTCAAAATATAAAATTTAAGTTTTTTTTTTAAATATTCTTGGTTTTGGTTCAACTACATCTATTTGGAATACAATCTTATTGCAATTACATTGCATCATTTCTCTCCGATCCGTTGTTTAAATTTGGAATTTCTAAAATAGGTGACACCCCAACCATATTGTATAACAAAAAATACAACCATTTGGCCTAGACTTTTTTGGGTATAAAATATAATATAGATGCATGATTCATAATCAATAATTCTAACAAAATAAAATTATAATAAATAAAAATAACATCTTTTGACCTCATGCGCCAAACAAACCCGATTTATAAAGTTTATGGCTTGATCAACCATATATATATATATATATATATATATATTTGCAAGTTCCTCTCTCCATAGCTATTTTTATTTAAATTTCAGGTTTATTATATTCAAATAAATTAAAAACTTTTAGATTGTATGATACTTTTGAAGTGTTTGTGAATGCCATTAAAGAAACTGTAGCTGGAAATTGCTAGGCGTTCTCCAAAATTGCTCACCAGAGTCATCAGTTGGTGGTCGAGTGGCGAAAGAATGTTGCTCTCTGGGTTCCGGTCGCCAGTTCGAAACGAACTGATGGGAAGGGAGGGGTGCATTTAAGGTGTTGCTCTCTGAACCCTTAGATGTATTCTAAAGACTGCTTTCGGATCTAGGGAGATGTAGGTTGGGTCGAAGGCTCAGGTGAACTTTCCGGTTTCCAAAAAAAAAAAATATTGCTCAGCAGCCCAGACTGCCACGTCAGCAAAAAAATCACACGACCCACGTCACCACATCCACGTAACACCCGAACGACGATATCTCTGCAAACCTCCCCTCTACTTTTCTTCCTTTTCAGTTTTCCCCCAATATTTTGTTTTGTTCAAAATTTAGTCCACCATTTCGCTTTTATTACTAATTAATTAAAAAACTATTGATCTTCTTGTGATTCTCACGCGCTGAGCCACCGTGCGTGTCGATCAAACGAGGATACTATTTTTTTTTCTTTAGTTACGAATCAAATAACGGGAATCGGAACAAGTTATATACAGATTATAATATGGAAAATTTCTAATTTCAATTACAGAAAAAAATGTTTTTTCTCGTAATTAGCCAAATCACAATATTTCAAGTGGGTTGTGAGATGGACACGTGGACACCACGCGTGGAAATCACGCGTGGAATTTCCATTTGCGACAACACGGATTTTAAATATTTTTCCTGTCTAATTGGGTAAACAATAAACATAACGAGAAAAAGATTTCAGAATGCGTAGTTGAAACTCATCGGACATCGGAGAAATCTTCGAAGCGAATCCAGATAAATAGTGAAGTTGAATTCGATTTCAATCGCTAGAGTTCGTTGGGTCGGGTGATTCATCCGAATGGTTAGGTCAGGGAGATTAAGCGTAGATTCGTCGTCGACGTCGAGTCATCGCCGGACGCCGTCGCATACGGTGACGTTGGGCCGTATTCAGCCTCAGGCTCCGACGTATCGTACGGTCTATTGCAACGATCGTGAGGCTAATGCCCCCGTCCGGTTTAAGGTACACCGGAGAAATATTTGGTGAAATGATATCTTGGATTGTTAATTTCCTGGTTTGGTTAACGGAAGATGATTTTGATTCATTGAGGAAATGGGGTTTGGATTTTTGTTTTCTGGGTTTCCTGATAATTTGTCCCGGATTTGGATGAGGGGAATTTCTGTTGTTGGGTTTTGTCGATTTATGACTTTTTTTTTTTTCTGAAGAATGTGTGTTTCTTTCAGGGCAATTCTATATCTACAACAAAGTACAATGTTTTAACCTTTCTTCCCAAAGGACTGTTTGAACAGGTAGGTTTCTGCTGCTCTTCTTATAAAGAAGGAAGATCATTAACTGAGCTTTAGCATATAAAGATGTCTTGAAAAAGGTTTGGCTAAATCTTAGGAGTCAGAATCAGACCCAGGGACATTGTGGGAATCAGTTAAATAGATATTAAACTTAGATCAGTTTGGAACCTTTTACGATCGTGTCATGGGCAGTTAATCTATATAGTAACAGTTGGTTGTAGTCCTACTTTGTCTTCCGTGCATTTATGCTATTTAACGAAAGAATTTCCGGCTTCTGAGAATCTGTGACCCTTTTTATTGGTCTATTAGTTTTGATTTTGAAAGAGAGGTTGGGATATGTTCGAATTCCTGTTGAATGTACCTTTGGTTTTTGACTGATGATAGGAAATTGTATTGCTTCTGATAGATCTTTGGGCCCTAATTGTCTGAGCTTCTGCTGGAATGTTTTGGGCATTGTTGTCTACAATTCGCTTGTGTATGGAGACAAGTGATAAAAGTATAAACTTACGATCAAAATTTTAAATGCAGTGGTGGCTTACATTTATTTTTATTGATGCTTTTCTGTCGAAAATTTTATGTTGTTTTAACAGATCTGAGAAATAATGTGTTTTTTTGACAGTTCAGGCGCATAGCAAATATATACTTTCTTGCCATCTCATGTCTATCAATGACACCGATAAGGTATGTGAACTCTAGGTAGTTTAATAATTTTGAATATATGTGAAAGCTATAGTCTTTAGTTTATGGTTTTGTGATTATGTCATATATTGATTTTAGTTGATCATTCGCCCTTGACGAGTTTTCTTTTCATTGATCTGTTAAATTGGGAAGATCAGCATTATCTCCATTGCCTGCGGTTAGTATTTTTTTGAAAGGTTAATATTGAAGAGGAGTAGTATCCAACCGTGTGTGACTGTCAATATTAATGTCATCGATTCATTGTTACATCATCCTTTTCGCCCATGCCCAATGAAATCTAGAATTGTTATATTCATCAGATGATATGTTTTATTCGTGAAATTATGTTGGCGTGTCATACCAATTTTTGGTGTAAATTGTCTGTGAATCTTCTTAATGCCATCCTATTCCTTGAATGCCTATTGGTCTGATTGGTAATTATGCATGATATAATTAGTTATTATCCTGTCTTGGAATCAGTAAGTCTAAACTGGAGAGAATTTTTGATCTGCAGCCCTGTAAGCCCAATAACCAACGTCGCTCCGCTGTCATTGGTGCTTCTTGTCTCTCTTATTAAAGAGGCGTTTGAAGACTGGGTGAGGCCTGGACTTTCTGTTCATCTTTTCTTTTGCATTGCTGAAATACATAACCTTCTACTGAAGTGGGAATTATTCAAATTACCCAGCTTCTAAATCTTTATGTGAATAATCTGCTGCAGAAACGCTTTCAAAATGATATGGCCATAAATAATAGCTTAGTAGAGGTCTTACAAGATCAAAGTTGGGTATGTATTCCCTGGAGAAAGTTGCAGGCTGGAGATGTTGTCAGGGTGAGTACTTGCTCTTGCAGAGGTCAAATTTTATCTTTGTTTTCACGGCATTCCGTTGGAATGCCTTTTCTGGATTGTATTTGAATTTTGAACTTCAAACCTATAAGTTTATTATATACTTTTTGATGAGTTATGCAGATAAACCAGGATGCTTTTTTTCCAGCTGATATTCTTTTCCTGTCCAGTACAAACCCTGATGGTATCTGCTATGTTGAGGTGCCTCTTCCGAATCGGCCCTTTTGATATCTTTGATACTGCTGAATTAGAATATCGTTCTTAGTTTATTCACCTTTGTTGTGCTTTCACTTTATGAGTGCAGACCGCAAACTTAGATGGAGAAACAAACTTAAAGATCAGAAAAGCACTGGAAAGGACATGGGATTACTTGACGCCAGAAAAAGCCTCTGAATTCAAGGGTTAGCTTTTTCCCCCTATCTGTCCTTAGATGTAAAGAGTTGATTTATATGAAGACTAAACCTCCTTTTTTCGTACAACCTCGGACATACAAATTTAAGATATACCTATGTGGTTCCTAAAAGTCATTTATCATATCGTCCTATGGGAGCCTACCCTGTTATTAGATCAAATGGGGAAATGATGCTGTAATGTGGTCGAGTGGAGAAGGCTTTAAGATATTATCTTGCATATATTTTCTTAGATGGCTCTTGACCTACAAAGTGGCATAGGACATCTTATTTCATAGAGTACTAGATTGGAACTAAATTTGATGTTTTCAGGTAGTATGGTCTATAATTACAATCATAGATTGGGGTATTCTTAGAAAAAGCAAAAGAAAAAAAATACTGACTGCAAGTCTGCACCTGGGTTAGTATGTGATGTTTTTTATACTCTTATCCTGTATTATCTGCCTTGTGTTACTCATCTACACAGCTAACCATCAGCAACACTAAAGGAATTCAGGAGTCTAAGTAGTTCTCTCTCATT